GTTGGTGCGGGGGGGGGGGGGGGTGCACTCATGTTTTGCATGCCTCAGTTATTACATCATTGACCACGCGTCCTATCATAGAGAGGACGGAGCATTGACCGATCACCGATGGCCAATCGTTCCTTCCTACTTTGGGTGCGGGGTGGGTAGATGGAAACAAAGCTATTGCGTGGTATGGATTGGTCTTGGCGATCAGTCGTACAAGACTGTGAAGATAGATAACAGAGAATCGATGAAAACCCGCGCGCGAGGTCAAGACGCCGTCTATAGCTACACGACTTTTCGCACGGCGGTGTCTGTTGGCAATACGAAGGCGATGAAGCTCTCTTTGAGACACCGCCCCGCCTCGCTTCTTCTGGCCTCTCCTTGCGCTAAGTCACACGCGGGAGAGAACGGCTGTGTCAGCCCTCGCCAGAGGGCGAAAGCCATGACAATACCACCGCAGGTTCCTCCAGCAATGTAGTCCGAGGGGGGCTAGCTCGAACAGCCCGATCAACACTGCTGCTGCTGCTGTTAAACACGACATGTTCGTCATATTTGATAATCTGGTCAGACCTGAATCAAGGCACCCACCTACATTACCAAGAATCGGAAGACAATACATGGCCCGTTCTGACTACAATATAAAAGCGAAGGCATGCATCCCAGACAGAGGGTGGGACGCCTAGGGGGAGAGAGGAAGCCTTCTGTGAGCCTCCCGCTCTGGACAGAGTGAGCGAAACAAAAAGACTGCTGGTGTATTTCGAAAAGGATAGACAAGATGAAAAAAAAAAATCTTCCTAGGAACCATCAGCGTCCAGCCGCCAAAAGGTATACTGCTTAACTTCACAAACTCAAGATAAGCCCAGTTTCCAGTCGGTTTCAATCTACTTACTGAAAGACTTCAACACATCCCTTTCGACTGAGGTTATATTTCGAACGGGTATTATTTCTGTGAGGTTATGCTTACATTCTTAAAAAGAAGAGACAAGGGGAGCAACTCACCACTCTCGTCGAAGTTGGAGAGGTCCGGGTCCACCTGGCAGAAGAACGCAAGCGTTTGAGCCCACATGTCCTTCGTCACGACCGGAACCTTGGCGCCCCGCAAGTACTCGCTGAAGTCCTTGAGCAGGGGGAACTCAGGCCCAGTCAGGACGAGCTCCCACACGGACAGGCACACGTCTAGCTCGATCGACTTCTTCCCTCTCTCCCTGAGGAAGGTCAAGGGGGGGGGGGGGGGGGGGGCCCCTAAAAATAATCCGGCCTGCCCGAAACCTTTGACCCTTGACCCCGGGGGGGGGGGGGGGGGGGAAAACAAAAATTTTC